AAATCGTGATACTGCAACAAAAACGGTGTGCAGACTTGGCCTAGGGAAGTTTCACTGGCATAGCTATGTCATTAGAAGTGTGGAAAAAATCACTCCCTAATGATACAGCTGTGCTGGCAAAAGCCCTAGTGTAGATGCAGCTATACTGAACAAAGTCCTTTCGCTGGGGTGACTTACTCTGTTTGGGGAACTGGTTTAAGCCACACTGACAAAAGCACTCTTCAGATAGTATAATTTGCATCTCCGCTGGGGGGTTGCCAGTATAACTACCAATATATTAAAACCAGCTAATCCTTCTAAGTGCAGATAAAAACCTTAGCCATCTCCTCTCTTCAGATCTTCCTTTAAAACACTCCTTTAACTTTTACTTGCAATTGACACTGAAGTTTCATTTACCTTCCTCTTCACCACAATTTCCTATTCTTCCCACACTGGAACAAGTCTGCAGGGAGCTTTCCTTGAATATATGCAATACTGACCACTCATATTCTATACTCAACCACAGATTGCAGTGGGAATCTAATTCCCACTTACGTTTAGTCTATTTCAGTGCAAAACACTGCTTTCCCTAATTGCCTGTAGGAGAGTCACTGCCCCCTGTGCTGTAAAGTGTTATCTATCCTATCTCTCATTAGAAAATATTTTCTGGTAATTTTCACAATGGCTACCTATAACAGTATGTTTGCAGTGTTGTTGCAGGTGTGTTGGTCCCAGGATATTAGAGAGACAAGGTGGGTGCAGTAATATCTTTTATTGGACCAACTTCTGTTGATGAGAGAGACACGCTTTCGAGCTACATAGATGTGATGAGCTCTCTGTAGCTTGAAAGCTTGTCTCTCTCACCAACAGAAATTGGCCCAATAAAAATTATTACCTCACCCACCTTGTCTCTCTGTTATAACAGTATGTCAGTCACGTTATTCCTAACTCTTCAAACAACACCATTCCTTCCTGCACCTCCGCCATAGAGACAAACAACAGGAAAAAGGCTGCAGGACCCTGGCCTGTTCTTAGTGACTGTGCTTTTCACTGTCTGGCAGAAGACCTAGGTTCAATTTTTGGGCCATTCTCACTAACTTGCCCATTTGAGACTGGGACACCTATGACTGCAACAAGGAGAAGTTAATGCCTCAAATCTCTTAGCAGTGACTTTTGGCCAGAACAGCACTGACGGATTCCAAACGGATTCTCAGCCAGTCTTTATTGGCCAGTAAGATGATGGGCCAGATCCTCAGCTGGTGTAAAGTGGTTTAGCTCCACTGTCTTGAACACAGTTGGACCTATACAGACCAGCGGAGGATCTGGCTCGATGACTGTATTCTGAGTCTCAAGGCAGTGGTGTTAAAGTGCTAGCTAAAGGGTAATAGTCCTCTGTATGTATGTTACGTTTAATTGTTGCCCTCCATATCCAACTGCTGTCAACAGCAGAAAAGCTGGCATTTAAAATGTGCAGCTGGGTTAGCTCCACTAGTAGGAGATAAAGCTTTTCCAAGACCCAAGGAAATGAAACTGGCGAGGAAACAAAAGATCTTGAGTTTCTAAAATAAGAGTTTAAAAAAAGAGATTATTCTGCCCCCACCCCTAAATATTGTTAAAAACAATGTCATATATTTTAAACAGCTGGGGCACCATAACTCAGACTATAGGTAAATGGTACATGTATAAAGATCTATAACAATGCTTAATAGCAACTGTTGGAAATGGGCCATCCTGATTATCACTACAAAAGTTTTTTTTCTCCTGCTGATAATAGCTCACCTAATAGCTCAGCTTAATTAATTACTCTCATTACAGTTGGTATGGCAACACCCATTTTTTCATGTTCTCTGTGTATAGATATCTTCCTACTGTATTTTCCACTGCATGCATCCGATGAAGTGGGGTTTAGCCCAAGAAAGCTTATGCTCAAATAAAGCTGTTAGTCTCTAAGGTGCCATAAGTACTCCTGTTCTTTTTGCTGATACAGACTAACACAGCTACCACTTTGAAACCTTAATATCAGTGAGCCAAAGCTCACCTCAAGCCACAGATACATAAAATTCATGTGTTTATTCATAGATTCATATAGATTCATAGATTCTAGGACTGGAAGGGACCTCGAGAGGTCATCGAGTCCAGTCCCCTGCCCGCATGGCAGGACCAAATACTGTTTAGAAATAATCTAGATTCAAGTTTACACTACACGTCAGAACACAATAGCTTAGATACTATCTCCACTATGCAGTGCATAATGTCTTCCATATAGCCCTTCATGCAGCAGCTAGCTCTCCTGCAATTCTTCAGACTACATGCATACACTTATGTATTATGTCAACTCATGCACCCCTCACTTTCCATTATTTTTCTCAGTCACTGAGGCAACCACAGGAGGAATCGCTATTGGTTGGAGGAGTTGTGAATCACATGATTGACAGTCCATTTTAATAGCATATTGTTCACGATGCAAATATTATGACTTATTATTTTCATGGCGGTAGCTCTAGGAGCTCCAGCCATGGACCAGGACCCCATTGTGCTAGGAGCTGTACAAACACAGCTTTACAGTGAAAGGTAGAATCGATAACATTTTACGAGCTATATTGTATTGCATCATATCATGTTAACCAAACAAGTAAAACTTGGGTTGAACAAAATTAAGAGCAGTAAGCCAATGATACTGTACAGCACTGGCATGAGTGAAATCCAAATCCACCTCCCTGTGTGTGACCTGTCTGAGCACTCTTGAATACAGCTCTAGAACAGCCTCCAAAAACCACTTTGTGAGAGGGGCAGCACCAGTTTTCATGCATATGCACCTATAAGTGGAGGGAGGGAGCAAATCACTCTTGTCTGAAGGAAGCTGTCTCAGCATTGAGTTCAGGCGTAGGGAGGGCCCGCCAGTTCTTTTCTCAGAAAAGTAGGAATGTGAAGGACTTGAAAAAGGAGAAAACAGAGCCTGTCACGAAGCCATAGCCTTGAATCTAGCCCTTCCCTCAAGAGTTGCCCTTAATCTGGGTTTCCAAAAGGGCCTTTCCATGTGGAGGAAGTGAAAAAAGAATTATGCAGTCTTTGGGAAGCCTCACTCGAAGAGTATTGTAAGTGGGGAGAGGAACTATGCTGATGTTTCTAGAACCTACTATACTGGAATGCAAAACATTTCCAATGCTGCCCCATAGCTCAAATGTGAATGGATCAAACCTCTCAGTTCAGGGCGATATCTTTTTATCCCCTTAAAGAAATGAGGATTTTCTGACCATTTACCTTTCGGGGGCGGGGAGTATCTCAGAATGGAGCATCTGAAGAAGGAAACTTCTTTTCTCCATGTGGGAATGTCTACACTTGGAGCTGAGGGGAAGAGGTGATTTCCAGCTCACACAGACATATTCATGCTAGTTCCCATTGAGTTTGTACACAAAAAATAGTAGCGTAGCTAGAGTAATGACCCAGGCTAACCGTGCCGAGTATATATCCACAGTGTCCAGACTAACCCGCAGCGACATTACTACAGAGTGTTAGCACAAGTACGTCTATGGGAGCTGGACATCAGACCCTTAGCTGTGAGTTTTACTATTGTGTTGTGCACCCTCGTGCTTTGCAAGAGGGAGACAAGTAACCCAGGGAAGTTGAGAGCCATAAAAGGGTTTGGCTGCATGGGGAGCACTTCCAAAGGAGGGTGAGGAATATGCAGCGTGAGGTGGTGAGTGGCACTGACTGCATTTCCTACTCTTGATTTCTCTTTCTCTGACCAGACAACCTTTCACTCTCTCAGATTTCCTTTCTTTTTTTTTTTTTTGGGCCAGTCTCTGACCTCAAATAACCCTTTGGTCCTTCTCCAGACTGGGAAATGGAGCTTGAAAAAGGTAAAAAAAAAATTTGCTACAGGAATAGCTCATTTGGCTTAGGGGGTTCAAAATACAATGGACCGACTGTTTGTGGGCCGACCTGGAACAGCCTCTTTTCCGATTTCACACTTGCTGTTCTGTGGCTGTGTATGTGTAAATCACATGCAAATGGATATTCACAGAGCTAGTTGGAAATTTTTAAACAAAATTTTTGTGATGGAAAATGCAGATTTGCTGAAATTGAAATTTTTGTGCGGAAGGATTGGTTGTGAAGAATTTTCGATTCTAAAATTTCTAAAAAAAAAAAACATTTTGCAACTGTCATTTTTTTAATGAAAAATTCCACTTTTCCTGTTTGAAATTACTTTTCATTTAGAAATTTAAGCAATTTAATTATAGCAAAAAAATGTCAAAAAAAAAATTGTTGATTTCCCGATAAGCCCTGCCTACCTCTTTGAACACTCGGGGGTTAATATTATTTCAGGTTAAGGGGGAGAGGTTGGGTTTAATGTTGCATATAATAGTGGTACACACAGCTTAAAAGATGCCTCAGGGCTGGCCTAGCAATCACAAACTGTTACATGGAGGAGCCAAGTCCAATTCCCTTCTTCCTGGCAGAGTTAACGTTCACATGAAGAACAGCTTTGTGTCATGCTCAATTGACCCTTGCCAGCCAATCAAAGAGTGGCATGGACTGTTTTAGCAGGCTAGGAGGAGGGGTCACTTCTGTGTAGGGTCTTTGAAGGGGAATAATAAAAGAGAAATGAAGAGAGATCCTAAAGAACACAGTCTCTCCAAAACACCACCCTGAGCTCTCCGGCTGGTAAATTTACTAATTATAATTGTTTTATTTCTGGAAACAAACCCTTACTAAACTAATATTTAATTATAAAGGGAAAATAATAAAAAATAGAGCAGAAACCCCTTTCAATTGTGTTGACAGCCTGTCACATAGCTTTCATAATGCTTTCGGATCCCAGGACATTTCTTTTCTTTTTTTTTTTTAAAAACACACCGTAACACACATCTAGAGTCTGGTTCCAATCTCACACTGCTGAGAACTACAGCAACTTCACTGAAGCGAATGGAGTTCCATCAGTGTAAATGAGATTAGGATCAGGCTCATGGACCCCAGCACATTTCACACAGAATTCCAACATCATTTCTGTTACACAGTACCTGCCATTGGTTTCCTGATTGGCTTGACATATATGTAGCTGGAAGGCTTCGCAGGCTGTTTTTCACAGGGGACCCTACTAGTGTGCCCCCCATATCACTAGAGGAGGATTCACTGGCCACTGCCATCTGGTATTGGGAGTAGTTGTAAAGGTTGTTGTAGTAAGGATACAGGGATGGCTGGTAAAAACTGCTGTAGTAGGTGGAGTCCACAACCAAGTCAGATGTGCTCTCCAGATGCCCTCTGCTGGTGATGGAAGGAATGTCCTGAATGAGCATCCGTCCCTCTGAAAAGAAAAGAAAAGCAAACCACAGCTGGTTATTGAACGGGAGGGTCCACCTTTCACTAAGCCGCTTCTCCATCTGCTGGCTTGACGGGGTGACAGATAGGAGGAGGTGAAAGCTGAAGGGAGGCAGTGCTTGCTGTTCATTGGAGCGTCAGCAGGCAGATATTCATTGAGGCAAGGCTGAGCCTGAAAGACCTCTCCCACTAACTATCTCACTTGAGGCAAAACCGACTAGAAGGTTAGAGATTGGGCCAGAACCTCAGCAGGTGTAAACTCAAATTAAATAGATTTACACCATTACATTTTAAAAGTGTATCATAGCTATATGTCAAGTCTGTATTAACTTAAAAGCAGAAAGATGCTGACCTCAGGCTGACACCGGTTCCCTTCATTCACCCCTTTGTACCTGGTTATCTGCAGGTGACAGCTGGGGCACTCTATAAACATGGCTTTAGAACGGGAGGAGGACGAGCGTACATGCCACACAAGCTGTGATACCCAGGCACAGCAGGGTGAGCCCTGGCAATCCAAACCCTGATTTGTTGGGGGTGGCTCAGACTATTTTCGGCAGGGACACTCAACCCCTTTCCTCTAGAAACAGACTCAAAATGCAGCCATGTTTTTCTCAGGCAATCACCCGTACCAGAATCCCTTGCACCAGTTTCCACGGCACTGCAGAAAGAGGTGCTGATTATTTTGTTGCTTCACAGGATTCCTGGCCACGCTCTCAATCTTACTCCTGACTGCTTAGATTGTGGGCTGCCTCTACCACATCCCTCCCCTACTGTCTGAAGAAAGAAGGCTCCATCCTCTTTCCTTCCGGGAAGGGAGTCAGGCTCCAACTTCATTCTCAGCTGCTAATGCATGAATGTATAAATTCCACTCCCTCTATACTAGCCCAGGGCAGGTCTGGTGTCTTCTGACTCCTCTGAGGGGAGGGGGATTGTCCTTTAAAACTTCGCAGGTGCTTGACACACCCCTACTCTTCTCATACACATGCATCAGGTCTGTGCATGCCCCCCACATAGCATAGTCAGCACACAGTCACATGGGTTTAGAGGCACTAATATAAGTGCACAGGAAACAATGCTGTAACTTTCCAAGATATAGTATTGATACAGTGGGAAATTGGGCTAAGTACTGAACAGGGTATTTTTTTATCAGAGGCACAAACACTTTAGAACTCCAACACTTGGGTTCTGTCATTGAGTCACTGTGGCCCTATCTACACTAGGGATGTTTTCTAAAGCTTTCCCCCCATCGCCAATACCATTTCAGCTTCAGTGGTGTCTGCAACATTTCAATCCCAGGTGTAGACACCTGCTGCTGCTGTTTTTAACACGATGTTGATTAGATCTGTTCTGAGCAGGGTGACATGACAGGGTGTCAACAAGGACAGTGGTGGCCAGCCAGTGACCTTTCTATTTTGGCCTCCTAATATTGTAGACACTTTCAGAGCTGAACCAGTGCTAACAATGGTAATGGAATGTTTATACAAAAACCCTATAGTGGACAGAGCCTGCATGATCTTGGTCAAGTCACTTAATATTTCTCTGCCACAGTAACCATCTCTGTGAAATGGACACAACAGTATTTACCTACCTCACAAGGACCCTCAGTTGTAAAGCATTATATATGAGCTCCACTCCAGCTGCAAATGATCAATAGTACTATTTATTACAGGTTTCAACCCAACCCTGCCTCCCTTCCCTGCTTGAAATTAAGATCCCTCACAATCAACAGTTGTATCATGCCAGGTCTTTAGCGCAGTTCCATCCCTGCTGTAACTGGAGTTTATCTTTACACATGTCAAAACAAAGCAACTTGGTAATTTAAATACTATGTGTCTTCTCTCTGTCCTGACTCTCCCAATACCTAGGCTCTGCCCGAGTGCAAATCCAGCCATTTGGGCACTTACATTCTGAACATTTCTCCAATCTACACGACAGCATTTGTGCAAGTGAGGCTGCTAGAGCCCTGCTTAGAGGTATCAGGTCAGAGAAGCAGAAACCTTTCCCATATAGCTCTATTATTTCACCTCCATCCCAGTTTTTGGTGCTGTTGTTATTCCACGCCTGTGTCTCTGTTAAGCAGAGTCTGCCAGTTTTAACCTCCAAGTTCATCTCATCCGGGACTTTGGTCAAATCAGAACTCAGGGGACTGGAACTGAAAAGCTGGTCAATCAAACAAATCCCTGGATTACCTTGACCCCAAACTTAGGTTTTGAATAATACCGCAGCCAGGCTGCTCGGCTTCTCATACTATATGTCAACAGCCAAATGTAATGTCCTCCATCCTTTCCCGTGCTGGGATACAGATTTTCTAGGAGATAGAAGGTAACGCAAGGCAGACTTAGCTGGCTGGGGCACTTAATGCCTGTGCAGGGACGGAGCAAGCATACTGGGGAGTGGGGGCTTGCTCACATGCAGCACTTGCTGCACTTTTAGAAAGGGTGTTGTGCTCCCTATAGCCCCAGCAACAGCCTCCTGGTGCTTCCAAAGGTCTTTCATGGTGGGAAGGGCTGAAGCAGGGGTACAGCCATGATCATGCCCCAAATCCCTCAAACACACCCCTTCTGGGGTTCAGTACTTCTGGCAGGGCTAGCACTCTCCCTTCCCCGAAAAGAGGCACTGGATGTAGCATTATGGCTGTCTCTTTCATAGGAGCACAAAGGGAGCTTATAGATTGATGCACACTCTACAGCATACCCGTGCTGGGCAGCCATCATTTGGAGTTTACTGAGTTAAGGGGTTGACTTGCCAATGCCCTCTTTTTTCCTGATGTGGTTGTGCTGTAGTCCCTGGTGGCTTAGCGCTTGGGCCCCATGATGAATCTATTGGTCTGGTCCTTTGTGTCTCTTCTGCTGTCTCCTGCTCTCTAAAAATCTGTACAATCCTATGAGCTGCTCTTTTAAGACTCATCAGTTCACCAGTTCACTCACCCGCACACTCACCCACATGCATAAATCCCAAACTGTCAGAAGCCTGGGACGTTTTTCTTTCGTGAACATGAAATTATGGAATCCACAATTCTTATAATGGGCCTGACAAACATCCCCCGTGAGCTACAGCCAGAGGGCTGGGAAGCACTCCTAACAACACACCAGAAAAGCAGGAGACATAGGAAGAAAGTTCAGGGAAAGTAAAACAGCCTCCCCTATCTGGAGCAACTCCTAGTGACTGCAGTGGGCTTTGGAGCAGACCCAAATGCTCTTGCCAGGTGAGATGAGGCAGAAGAGTGAGGCCTCAGTGAGGTCTCATGGCACTATCGTGTTATATTCCAAAAGATGCAGGAAATCGCAACATCATGCGAAGAGCAGCTGAGAACTAGCACAGGCTCCAGCCAACTCCTGCACCCAGGATTTAAAACCTAAGCGCTTTTCTTTGCAGCCATGCATGGTGACTGGTTACTGCCTTTCCCTGGAGTATTCTTGGCTAGATTCAGGGCTGCATGTCCTCAGAGATACAACACAGAAGGCATAGCTTTATGGCATCTTTGCACCACCTGGATTCTGGGCTACTGTTGAGGCCCAAAATGGCCTTTGGTGAAAGTTGGAACATCCTCAGGGGTTACTCTGATTCACAGCACACTTGTGCTGGTGCTGGCTGCTGTGAGAGCTTGGACCGCACGCATCTTCCTGCTCCTGGTATACACCAGACGCTGGGGGCTGCAAGGAGACACTTGCTCCTACGATGCTTGTGTTCCCGGGGAATTCTCTCTCAGACTATTGTGCCCCTGAACGGCGCACAGGGGCAAGATTAGGGACCAGAATCAGGCCCTTTACCTTTAAAATACTTAACCACATCTTCTCCCTGTATTTTCCTTCTATTTCCCTGACTGAATTTGAAATCAGCTGAAGCAAAGCCGGACACTACACTTCAAAAGGAGAGGATTTTGTGTTTGAAGGAGAGACTTTTAGGCATTTGATCTGCCTGCATCTCTACCAGCTCTTAAACTAAACAGGGTCAGGATGAGATGCTCCCTAATTGGGAGAGCTTCAAGGAAAAGCTAGGTGCTGGTGGGGGTGGGGGGGTTACTCAGTAGCTGGCCCATTCCCTTGAGTTCCAGCATAGTGCTGGAAGTGCTGTACTGGTTACGAACTGTGTTGTACATCAGACATAAAACCAAATCCTTGCCCACTCGTAGTCATTAAAGAACCCCCAGCGCTGAATTTATTAAAGAAGAGTTGTCAGCTTCAGTAGCCTGGGCAGGTTGAATTCTGCTAATTACAGGCTGCCTAGATCGACTCAGTTGTTTTCATTTAATAAGCTATTTTTCATCTGTTCCCCCAAATGAAACCCTCGGCACTTGTACAGTGTTGCTGGCAGATTGGCTGCTGCTTTCTCACTCCAGAGGTGGCTGCATTTCCGTGGAGAACAAAGAGATCCCTGCACACGAGGGGTGCATCACTCCAGCGGGAGCTCAATATTAGGCACGATGCTCCAAGGAGAACAACTGATACTACATCTTTTAACCAGCTGCCTCATTTGCTCCCAACTCTGCCCTTCCCTGTACTCTTTGGAAGGTTAGTGTTGCTGCAGGTGCTAGCCTTATACTGTCCTGACTGTCTCTGGTCCCCATGCTTGGGAACCAGGAGAGGTTCCTTGCACCTTCTCCCTAGTTCTGTGCAGTGTGCAAGACCAGGACCAGCCTTGCCCTAAGTCTACAAAGTATTCTGGGAGTTCAGATGCTGCATAGGTGTAATCTTCTACCAACCTTCTTAAGGTACAGTAGTACTTTGTGCAACTGTAGCTAAAATGGGGTCAAGAACACTGGGTTCAACACTGAAGCAAAGCAGCAACCCACCAATGCACAAGTACAAGGAGAGAGGGGTTGGAAAAATTGTCCTCAGCCTTCAGGTCACTGAGGGGGGCATGCTTTACGGCCCCACACGTGTCCTCCCCCACACCGGTCAGTGATGCTGGCACACCATACAGCACCACCCGCCTCTTCCTGCCCACCAGTCACCAGTGACCACACCATGTGGCGCTGCCAACGTC